TATCAAATTATTTGTTATCAATCAATCATCTCATACAAAAAGGTAACAAATTTTGCAAAATTTTCCATCCTGTTAAAATATATTGAAAATAATAGTCCCATTTTGTATAATTATCAATATCATTTGATAGCTCAGAACGTTGCTTGAACTTACTGCCTTAAAAATAACTCAAAAAAATAATCTAACCGAGCAAGGGTTCCAATAACATTTTTGCTGATAACACTGATAACAATAAAAACTAAGGTCAGGCGGCGGTAATATTTGCATATTTGATTGGAATTATGTGTGCAGCTGCAGTAATTATTCGAATCGCAAAACAAAAGTACCGAATGCGTAAGAAGGAAGCAAATGATTATTCGCTGCTAGCTGATACTGAAACGAAAAAAGTAAAATCAGAAGAAGTAGCAAGCGATGAAGCATCACTGAGCACAGCACATTCGACAGAATTAACTTTGATTTGTAACACGATTGAACTTTCACCTCGGGTCAATAACACTTTTTAAAACCTCACCGCTTTTTCAATTATTACTATTTTTATTGTTTAAAATTACTCTTTAAAATGAGCAGTAATTGTTTGTTAGTACAAATAACATACTGGCCAATATTTGCATCAGTATGCATAAACCTGAAATTGTCATCGTCAGTATCAATAACTGGCAGTAATATTAATCATTATTATCTACAATTTTCGATAATTATGTAAAGCTAGAAATCAATTTTAGCCCTTTGTTGTGGACAGCAAAGAAGGAGCGATTCTGAATTTGAAGAACTGTTACAGTAATGAATGGATAGCAGTGCGTATTCTTACCAACAATACTACATTAAGCATTTACCCAACTAAATTTTTATTGCCACCTAAACGTATTAGTGCCGTAAGTATTTTACGCAATCTTCAGTTACTTCTATTTTGATGGCGCTTTTTCCGTGAATAATCCTTATATCTTGGCAAACTCGACATAAATGAAATATAAACTAGCATAAAATAGTTTACTAATGAACTTAAAACTAATTAAATAATTTTAATTTTGTTTAGGCTGAAGTAACTCTTAGTAGTAATAAAATGAATACTGAAGTATCAAGCCGAATCTTAGCTCAATGGTTCACTTTAGGAGCATCTTGTCCGTCAAAAAACGTGACTAGTCTTTGGACTAGACCATATTGTGTACAACGTGATAAATGGCATTACAAAATTATACGCATTTATTTTGATTTTGGTTAACTCATTTAATAATATTTACAATATATGACTTCCATCATTTCTGCATCTAAAAAATTCATCTATGAGTTGGCACTGAAAATAGATTAAAACATTAATTATGATATTAATTTCTTCCACGTCATTAAGACAGACTAAATATGTAAATTTGAACTTAAATACAGATAAACATCATTTCGGATGCACTGACAATATTCTTTGCTAACTTATATTACAAGCCATACGTTTTTTAATAATTACATTACAACACGTATGCAAATTATCAAAAGTAATGACTAAGTCGAAAATGGAGAAGAGCACGTAAAGCAAAAAACATAATTTTTGTCAATTTTCCTATCAAATTAAACGCATTTAATCATATTTATGCTATCAAAAATTATAATATCTAGTGCGAAAAGACAAGTAGTAAGAACTCGCATATAATTATAGCAAGAGAGATTTAAGTTTTCTTATTGCTAATCTTCTTATTGCTAATCGCAACTTTTTGCTAATCTTTGCTACAATTTATAATAATTTTCCAAACACTTCTTTGGAAAATTATTATAAATTGTAGCAAAGATTAGCAAAAAGTTACAGCTAAAAAAGTTACAGCTAACTGATTTTTTTCACAGAAATAAGCGTTAAAAGAGGAGTACAAGTATTGCGTACGTGCTCTTTCACAGTACGTCACTTTTAACAAAAAGTAACCGAAACGTCAAGAAAAAGACGCACAGTAATGCAAGTTGCGCATTTATCTTCTCACAGAATTCAAGTATAAGCAAAAACTTTTACAGATTTTGCATTGAAAATGCTTCGCATCTTCGCGGACATAGTACTTACGCTGTCTTAAATCACATCGAACAGAAAAAACTGACCATAAACTTTGCACGGAAAAAGAATGCTCGATGTCCATTTTTTCCTGCTCAAACTGAATTTAGCACTTTTGTCCACATAAAAGTCACTTCTTTTAATGTCTAAAGTGTAGAGAAACTATACTAGGAAAATAGCAATTCGGTCTTGATTCTAAAGTAAGAATCTCCCACCAAACATATTAAAATGAGACTGAAACGTATCCTGGTAAATATCAGGTAGATAAATAAGACTGAAACGTATCCTGGTAGATATCTGGTAGACAAAAAGGCGGTGCAAAGAACAGCATGTAACTATTTACTTAATCACTAAATATCAGTAATGGCAAACATCAAATTACTGTTAAGTTGCGATTTTGAGTATTGCTCATGAAAGAAAACATAATTTGAGTGGAAGCAGCACAATACTGTGATAACTACAGTAAACAAAGGAATTACTGAGGAATTATTTGTACGTCATCAAATCAATCTATATTACTATTACTTTTAGTGAAGAAATTAATTTAAGTTGTTACACTTTTATCCAAAAAGTACTATATTCCAAAAATTCAAAAATTTGCTTTAAAAAAATTCAATGAAAAAATATTTTTCAATACAAATTTAAAGGCATTAAAATTTTTAGATGAAAATTTGCTTAAAAAAATCTGAATTTCGTAGAAGTAATTAGTTTGTATTTTAAATATACCGTGGTTGGTAGATTCTTCATTTTTATCCATCACTGGTTTTATGTACAGATAGATTAATTGTGAATCAGTTACAAAAAGCAATAAACATAAACAGTATGAAAATTAACTTTACAAAAGTTCTGGTATTAATAAATTCTTATCCAATTTATATTTTTGAATGGAATTGGAATAAAATTGGATCTTTGGTAGAGCAAAATGAATATATTCTAATGTAATAATGTATGCAAAACACATTTACCGTTGCATGCATAAATAAAAGATAATAACAGCAGCTTCTAAGGAAAAGTAAAACAAAATATCTTAAAATTGTTAATATTTATTTAAATTGAATTGAAATTAAAGCCACTACGATTGGCTTTATCTCATATCTCATCTTTATTTACTCTTTTTGATAAGCGTTTGCGCATTCAATCTTCACATATCCCAAAAGATCCTTAACAAATCCTTCATAGACTTTGAATATAATTTGAATTTTGATTCTTTGATTATATTATTTATTCAGAGAGCAAATTTCTTCATTAGTACATTTGCGATAATTATTATATATAATTACGATAAAGTATTATATATTATTACTTTATTATTTATATAAATAATTATCGTATTGTTTTTTATTAGTTTAGCAGTCTATTAATACTTCCATCAAATTAATTGTTGATATTTTTTTCTGAAACAATGATATTTTTCAAGATATTTCCTGCAGTGACGTGAAAGTTTTTTCTCTCAGTTACGTGAAGTATTTTGAAGTACGTAAAGTCTTTTTGAAGTACAAATTAATGCTGGTTTATTATACAATTATTGAAATTGTTTGGCTGTTTTGGTTTTTGACGCTTAAAAGTATATAAAAGCAAACGTTTTTAAAATTTTCATTACAGAAAGAAAGTTGAAAAATCAAGAAATTTCAATCGCAATAAATTATAAATGTCAGCCGCAAATCAAGAAGTACAATCGCCTTCAAGTCCAGATCAAGGATCTGATAAAATTGCGAAAAATGTTAAAAAAGCCGTCAGATCATTAGATATCGTTACAGTAGGATCGGATAAGATTGGTCAGGTAGAAATACAAATCTTTTTTCAAGTATTTTCTTAAAAACGAAATGATTAGTCATAATGCATTTACTAATTTGGCTGAAAAATGGCTGATCAAGAAAGGTTGACTTAATTAGCGTGATCAAGAAGAAAGAAAATTTGCGAATTATCTTTTGTATTTATAATGATTTTTACATTTTTTCGTTTGAGATCATGAACTAAAATTAGTATGAACTACATTTAAAACTGTAAAATACAAAATACAAAGCAATTGTGCATTGCAGTTTTTTGATGAATAAAAAATATAAAATTTTGTCACTGAAATCTGTTCGAAAATTAAAGTAAGTAATAAAAAGATGTTGTAGGGACCAAATTTAGGATTGAAAGAATGGATAAATTTGGTGTTGGATCGTGAATGTACGCCAGTTTTATACGTATATTTTGCTGGTATTGCTATATTGGCAGTAATTACAGCGTTAATTATTGTTATAATCGGTTTGTACTGCGATTGGGAATTTGCTTCAGTTTTTTAATTAATTGTAAAAGCAATAATAAAAACATTTTGTTATTTAATTATTCATTCTGTTCGTACTTGTGGATTTCAGTAAATATCACTTCTATAGATATCAGATTTGTGATGCAACCATTATCTTATGATCACTTTTGACTACAAAAATCATATAGGTAAATTATGCGTTTTTGTCGCATGCATTTTATTGTGAACCACCGTAATAAATCAAAATGATCAACAGTAACGAATTAATGATCGTGAACAGTAATTATGCAAGAATATCATCATCTAAAAATACCTAGTTTCTTATTAGATATTCTATGTAATCGGATGCATAGATCATATTCATGCTATCCAAAAATGGAATAATTAGGAGGCAAACGAGAAGATAAAACGATCAGGCAGTTATGATAAATGAAATTGAAGAATATAAACAATATCCAGAGGTATAGCAAGAATGGCAGTTAATTAATTTCCCTCTGAAATACCACAGACCTTGTGCATTCAATACTGTATCATTTAGAAAGAAAAATTTGCATAAATTTCAAGAAAAAAACGTACAGTTATGCAAATTTACACGTGTGACCATTCATACAAAACGATTATGCAAAAAATTTGCTACACACGGACTTACGACGTCAATTTGGAAAAACTCTGCCACATGCATAATGAATAATTTTTTCATGACATTTTATGTTGGATAAATTTACAGAAGCTTTGTCGCAAACTTGGCACTTATAGCATTTTTTAAGCGTATGCTTGGACATATTTTCCCTTATATCACTTAGAAATTCGTACTTTGCTAAGATAATCGTCTTATCATTAACAAGTGATATCCGCTGGAGACTATCAGTGGCATGGGTGTTGGCTTCGATAGCACTTTGTTAATTTGTCTTACATCTTCTTAATGACAAAGTCAAAAGTTGCTTCTGATACTATGGTAGTGGAGTCACTACTTCTGATACCTATAAGTATAAAGGAATTGT